CAATACCGATGTCTCTTTTGACCCGATCTTGCTGCCTCTCACTATTCTAAAAAAGTTCTACAGTGGTGCAAAGATAATAATGTGAAAATTGTTCCTAAAGATGCGAATCCTCCAAATCGTCCTGAAGAGCGCAAGATTGAAGATTTTTGGCCAATAGTTAAAAGAGTTCTTCGTAAGACAGGTGGAGTTACAAATAATAAAAAGGACTTTCAAAAAAAGTAGATTAATGCCACCAATATGGTGAAAAAAAAAATCTGTGAAATGATGGCATTAACCCGCTATAAAGTTCGATTTCTTCCCAAACAACCCATTAAGCCCCTTAAAATTAAGTTGAAACTTTAATTTATGTAAACACATTTAATAATAAAAAAATTGAAATAAAAAGCATTTATGGTTTTAAAGAAATCTCAATTTAAAGTTGACCGGATTTTTCCGTGTCCACCCGATAAACATAAGTAACAAGTTGTGTTAAATATATAGTTGTACTTACGTTTAGAGCATTTATTTCCTTGAGTAACGTCTCAGCACTTTTGTACCTATCTGCTCCCAAAACTAATCGGCTTGTTTGTTTTTGTTTTCTATTAATATTTTTTAGGAAAGATGAATGATTTTTTGTCCAGGCAATATTGCAGTAGTTAATATGACTATGTATAAATGAATAGTACAAATTTTTTAAACATATTTTATTCAAAAGATGTTTTGCCTTTTACATAATCCCGAGAGTCTTTGAAACTTTATTCTCGACTAACTGTATTTGGCTTTTCGGGTATATATGTTCTGAAACTCATTTCATGACATACCATAAATGCTGTTAAATTTGACGTTTATGCTCATGAATCTACTAAAATGTATGTAAATCTGAGTGGTTAGTACCCCATATCTCCGACTTTGAAAAAGTTTTAAATGCATGGTGCTGAAGTATTAACTTGTGCAATCCTCCCTACTGTTCATTTATCATGTATTGATTTTTATATCAACATATACATACTAAATAAACTGCTATTGAGTTCAGATCAATAGATAACAAAATAAAAGTAGATAAAAACGGCACAAAAAAAAAACTTTGCCTTTTTTGAAAGAGGCAGTTAATATGATGAACTTGAATAACCATTGACTTTTACACCAAACTAAAATCGATAGTGAACAAAAATATCACCGAAAAAAATAAAAAGTATGAAGATTTGACAATAAATTATGCGACTAATTCATAAATTTTAATAAAAAATTATTTATTGAAACAATTAATTTTGATTAAATACTGTGTTTAAAACTAATAAATTAAAAAAAAAAAAATCCATAAAATATTTTTGTGTGGTTTTATTATACAAATACTCCACTGTTCGCCGCTAAAGTCAATAAAAATATTCCGTAAGATTTCTTAGTGCCATAACTTTAATCATCGTTTCTGCGTGTTGTAACTTGAGCTGTTATTCTTTTTATCGACTCGGGCAAGAAAACGTTGTTTTCTCCTCGTAAACCATAAAGTTGAGTAGAGTTGTTACTCAGATCTTTATTACTGTTTCTACGCATATGTAGCGCTTTATAGTGCTAGAATTTACTTTATTACTGTCTCTACGCATATGTAGCGCTTTATAGTGCTAGAATTTACTTTATTACTGTCTCTACGCATATGTAGCGCTTTATAGTGCTAGAATTTACTTTATTACTGTCTCTACGCATATGTAGCGCTTTATAGTGCTAGAATTTACTTTATTACTGTTTCTACGCATATGTAGCACTTTATAGTGCTAGAACTTACTTTATTACTGTCTCTACGCATATGTAGCGCTTTATAGTGCTAGAATTTACTTTATTACTGTTTCTACGCATATGTAGCGCTTTATAGTGCTAGAATTTACTTTATTACTGTTTCTACGCATATGTAGCGCTTTATAGTGCTAGAATTTACTTTATTACTGTCTCTACGCATATGTAGCGCTTTATAGTGCTAGAATTTACTTTATTACTGTTTCTACGCATATGTAGCGCTTTATAGTGCTAGAATTTACTTTATTACTGTCTCTACGCATATGTAGCGCTTTATAGTGCTAGAATTTACTTTATTACTGTCGCTACGCATATGTAGCGCTTTATAGTGCTAGAATTTACTTTATTACTGTCTCTACGCATATGTAGCGCTTTATAGTGCTAGAATTTACTTTATTACTGTCTCTACGCATATGTAGCGCTTTATAGTGCTAGAATTTACTTTATTACTGTCTCTACGCGTATGTAGCGCTTTATAGTGCTAGAATTTACTTTATTACTGTTTCTACGCATATATAGCGCTTTATAGTGCTAGAATTTACTTTATTACTGTCTCTACGCATATGTAGCGCTTTATAGTGCTAGAATTTACTTTATTACTGTCGCTACGCATATGTAGCGCTTTATAGTGCTAGAATTTACTTTATTACTGTCTCTACGCATATGTAGCGCTTTATAGTGCTAGAATTTACTTTATTACTGTCTCTACGCATATGTAGCGCTTTATAGTGCT